GACATTTCTAAACATGATATTGACATGCATAATTTAAATTTGCTGAAATTATTATTCAGAATGATGAATCAATATATATGATTGTTTTGAAATATTGATTTCAGACGTGTCACAGAGGGGCCTTATCTATGCGAAGAATGTGGTACCGATTTTACACCAGTTTGGCGTGCCATCGGAGCAGACGAGAATTCACTAAATCTTTACTGTGACGCATGCGTTAAGGCAGCGCAAAAGAAAAAGCTGCGTCAGGAGCATACTGCATTGTTGAGGAAAGCTTTCAATAAAGTTATGGAAAAAGAACAAGTAAAGATATAGTTCTATAATACTTCTTTTTATGTAAATTTTTTCGACGTAATGTAATTGCTGATTTCAGTGACGTGAATATTTCCTTATCCCTGGAAGAATTGAATGATGTGAAAATTATGAAACAGAATGATTTTTATAAGATTATAGAAATGATAGTTAACCCTTCATTTTACTTAGGAATTGGAAAAACAGATAGCAGAAGGTAAATTCGAAACGGCTATTCCTTCTTCATCGACACCTCGCTCATCAACGCCAGCTACACCACCTCTTAGCGCAGCTACTGTAAAAACAGTACCTTCCTCCTCTGGTGTCTCGCTTAGTGCACCAAAAGCTTCTACTTCTTCCGTAAGTATTTGCTCTCTCTAAATAACACTTACTTATATTTAAATTTCACTTATTATGGAAGCTTTAGAATAGGGAATCTTTAAGAGACTTTGTTTTATAGGCAAGCCATCAGCAGCATCATACCAAATCAGGTTCATACAAAAGGCCTGCAACAGCAAATAGTAACAATGCAGCACAAGCTGCTTCGCAGAATGCTGCAGCTGCAGCTGCAGCAGCGGCACTTGCTGCAGCAGCAGGCGCAACTGGTACGAGTAATTTCTTACAGCAACAGATGGCAGCAGCGGTAGCGCTGCGGCAGACAAATCCTATGCTTGCAGCTATGATGGCGAATCCTTTGCTCAATTCACCAAATATGTTGCAGGTACAAAAAACCATCCTCTTTTTTCTGCTATTTTTCGGTCAGAAACAGAAAAGAATTAAAATGTGGAGAAATCACTCAACGGGTCTTGACATGCTCAAATTCGCTTCACGTAGTCCATCTGCTAATAAAAAGTTTACTTTTGTAGTCGAATCGAGAAAGCTGAATGGGGCTGAATCTGAAAGAAACATGATTTCGGAATTTAGAAGAAAAAAATATAATCAAGATTGGATTATGTCAAGTTGGAGTAGTCGGACTGACGATTAGATTCGGAAGCCTTTTTAGATATGTCAAGTTGGAGTAGTCGGACTGACGATTACATTCGGAAGCCTTTTTAGATCGCTACTCAGCTGCCATTCATCATAACATCAACAAGAAAAATCTTGCAGAATGCATTTAACAGCTGTGTATGCTGTTGAGAATATGCGCAAAAAATTCATAAAGTTCAAAATTAAAAACGGTATTGACTGATAGTGTTTTTGTAAATTTTTTGAAGGTAATACATGAAATATATTTGCCGGAAAACAAGTAGAGCGCGAGTGTTCTGACATAATTTCATTGATAGCATTTTAGCATTCATTTTACTGATATGAATATGAATTAATTTTCTTTCAGCTTCAATGGAATCCGTTAATGCAGCAACGTCTACCCAATTTGGCAATGGCAGCACTTGCTCAGGCGGTTCAAAATGCCCAACAAAGCAGTGCATCTGGAAATGTTACACCAAATGCTGCTGCTGCTGCAGCAGCAGCTGCTGCTGCTAATCCTTTAGCAGCACTGGCAGCTTCAATGAATCCGGCCGCTGCAGCTGCAATGTTTAGCAGTAGCCCACAAATGGTACGACAGTTGCAGCAAGCACAGCAAGCAATGCAAAGGAATTTCTTGTTAGAATATGCAAAAAGTCAGTCAAAGAAATGACGTTGTTATCAAGGAAGGTAAATATTCCGTTCTGTTCTCCATATAGTGATATAAAGTGATATATATGCATATAATATGGTATATTATGGCATGGTATGGTAGCGGTAATTTGGTAGGCGTATATGTTGTTTGCACTTGGGAATCATTATGGGTATGTTAATTATGTTGATACTTTTAGGTGACTTCAAGCTTGGTTTGATTTAAAAAATTACCGATTTCTGCTGTTTTTATACCTTTATCCCACCTATCATTCCTTTCTCTAATTTATCCTGGTAAAGTTAGCAATCTTTGTCAGCATAATGAATCTTACGAAATTAATTGATATTATGGATAATCTAATAGGTACCTTTTTAACTGTCGCAATCTAATGTTACCAGCTGAGAGTTTTCTCATTGACTGTCTTGATTTAGATTTTCCTATATTTGTCTCCGATTCCAGAGCAACGATTCAGCTAAATTTGTTTTCCATGGGAATGCTATAGATGTGGTGAAGTTTGTAGTTTTTATTGACAGCCGGTTCAGTTTTATTTTTCTCCTTTCTTATGGAAAATAAACATTGCATGTTAGTGAAATTTGTGTCTATGAAATTCTTCGATTTGAAACATTAAAAAAAATCCAAACATGTTATTCTGAGCTGGATTTTGAACTGAAAGGCAATTGTTGCAAACATGTGAATAGAAATTTTCAATCGTTATCCAAAATTCTGGACCATAAGAAAGGGAAGCTCGAGTCACGTATCCATTGTTGCTGTATACGCTTCTTGGTTAATTATTATTGCTATAGGTATCGTGATATTTGTAAATATATGTGAGGTGTGATCCATGATAATGTTTTTCGTCAGATTGAAATGTTTGTGCAACAATTTTTTTAAAGTAGATCTCGAAAAGTTTATATTTTTCGGGCAAGTTTAGGCTAAATGATGTCAATGTCAAAGATGAAAGGTTGTTTATGGAACCCAGGAAATATCCATAGAGGTTATTGTATGGAAGCATTTTATGGAACTTTAATTGTTTGTAATTTGTGGGTGAATTATATAAGGTTTTGTGATGATCATAAATGTCGTTGGTACCATGAATTATCTAAATGATTCTGTGATATTTATTGCTGAGTCGGTGGATGATGGTTATGGTTACGGTGTTAGTTGGTTAATTATCATACAAGTTTTGGTTTATTTGAAGTCATTTTCGGAGAATTTTAGTAATTCATGATTTTGTAATTTGCAAGTATCAGTTGGTTATGGGATTGTTTTGTTGCGTTCGTTCATCTTTAATTGAAATATTTTTATCATTTCTTTTGATATTTAAATAATTTAAATTGTTGAAGTGGATTTTATTTTTTTTTTTTTTGAAAATTCGTTTCATTAATTGTATCATCATTTTGATCAGAGAAATGTGCTTTCAGGTTTAATTTTTTGAGTTGTTTTATGATTTTTTTTCTTGAAGTTTGTTCTTTTTTTTACACGTTCATTGGGAATCAGTTCAAGATTGATTAGCTGATGAGAGATATATAACAGTGACAATTGTTACTTAATTCTTTCTGTGCGAATTCATTTTTGCTCCATAAAAAAGTCTGAATCTAAAGAAAAAGGAATTTTATTATACGAGCTTTTTTTTAAGAAGAAATTGCCAGAACATTATTTTTTAAAAGTTAGTTTTTGCAGCACAAAGTTGTCTTACGTCTACTTTTCCTGCGATCGCGATCGCGGAGAAATTTTTGAATTTAAAGTGACCTTGCTATGCATGCTTGCCTTGGTGCAATTATGTACAACTTCTTTGAGTTGAAGGTTCAAATTGTGGTTTTTTTAGTTATCTTGCTAGCAATAATTTCATAGATGTGGGAACCATACTGGTCTCGCCGAATTTTGAGATTCATTCCAAGACAAGATTCTTAGAATATTTAGATGTAGTTCTGAAATATCCTGCATTTTCGGTGTTTTACATTATCTGCAGTGAGACATCTACGGTATGCATTTCGTTTGGATCTCTCTGAAATTAGTTGTCATGAATTTTCATAAATTCAGAATCCAAATAACAATTCAGAAATATCTATTCGTCGAGATTTGATAGAGTGTCATATTCGTGCTGCAAGTTTTACCTGGTTGAATTATTTTTTTCCTGCATCATTGATTTTCCTAAATCGAACTTTCTGCAAGATGCAGCAGCGTGCAATTGATTTTTTTATCGAATTCTCTTCTTGGATCTCGTGTTGTGGTCACTCGGTAGCGATTTGCTTGGATGTAAGCTATTCTTTGAAGTAATACTTGGAAATTTCCCCCAAAAATAGCATTGGTGGACGTATTGCATAATATACGGGGCTTGTTAAATGGAATCCTAAGCTAGTTTTTGCATACTGATCGATTGGGGGAAAATCTGTAGGATAAAAGTTGAATAAGATGAAGGGTCAGGGAATGGAGAGGTGATATATTCTGTAACCAAAAAGATAGGTAGGAGGTACCGTACCTTTTGCTAAGAAAGGAATGAAATCTCAATATCCTCCACCATCCCAACTACTCATTTGTCAATTCTCGAAAAAACGCTTCCCAAATGCAGGCTACTCGTCAATTTCATTCACCATGCAACAACATGTTTTCACAATCTCCAAAAAAGTTGTCACGTTTATTGATTTTTGTTGGGAAGGAAATAACTAAAACGAGATTTGACCTTACACTAGTTGCGGGGAATAAACAACAAGCGGAAAGGGATGAACAACATTCTTGGACTTCCTGAAACAAAAACTCTTCAATGATCAGATTGCTATGCTTGGGAGACATAATAGATTGATTACGTTTCAGAAGTACCAAGGGCTTCCTAATTTTCCTGATGTCCTTTAACCTGTTGTCTCATAGCAAAGGGAACACAAACACAAAAACATTAATTACAATACCAATTTAATAATGGAAAGGGGAAAGGCAAGAAGGGCAACATTCAATTAGTGATCAATTTTGAATACTGGCAGATCAAGAATCAAGCAAATCCATTCTCAGGTTGCCAGTTTTTTGCCTTAGCACATTAATACTTCTTCGGACCCGGACTTAGTCATAATGGAGCATTGTTCGGATGAAAAACTTTCATCTGTCATGCTTCTGTCATAATAGACAATTGTTCGTTAGTCCGTAGTATCCGTAGTTCAGTGGCATTCATATGTCTATCTTTATCATGAACAACCTTATCCTCTTCTTTTCTGCTACCACTGCCACCACCAGCATCACAGGTACTGCCACTGCTACTATATGCATCGATACCAGCGGTGGCACCAAATAGGTGCTTTCCGAAAATTGCCCGATAACAATTAAATTCCAATAAGAACTGAGGTATTAATGACAGGAATGTTGGCAGTAGTACAAGACCATGAAACAAACCCCAAATTACCACCAGTGATATCGTTTTCACAAATACCAGTGGAATATAATTCTGAAAATGACAAAGAAGAAATAGTTTTTTAGAATTAAACCGAACATGAAGTTCATTATATTGCTATCTTGGAAGGTCTGCCTCGGGATAATTCTTAAAGTTTCCTTTTAAACTGAAAACATCTCTCATAGTTCAACTCATAAATATTTTCCCTTGCTTTATCTAACCTCTCATCAAAGTCAAGATCATTTTTACTTCTTGATCTTTTCCTTCTTGTAACACTCTCAAACACAATTAGCTTTACGTTTTTGTTTACGAAAATAGTGAGTGCATCTCAATTTGGTAATTATTTTCTCTTCAATTTCGTAAAATCCAAACCTCTAAAAATGCTAACGGTATAATGCAAGCAACCGTACTGATTCCACCTTGCAATGTTGGCCATGCCACACTTTCCAACGTGTATTCTAAGCGTGCCTTGTTGTTCTCCAACCGTGATTTTGTTATTCTTATTCCTTTGATTGTTTTCTTCTCTCCGAGCTATATCATTTTTATAAATCGAGACGGAATTTTGACACCTCATACCTCTCAAAGATTTCCCCTTTCGGCTGGGTAACTGCAGGATGGCCAAGCTAAGATTCTGGAAGCGGTCTACAAGTGGAATGGTGCCGGAACTAAAAAAAGTCCATGAGAGGGGGACTTACTCATGAGAACTCTCAAATTACTCACCTGATGATGATAGGATACATGGGCGGTAAAGTCTACTGACATCCCAATACACATCAGTATGGCGCAAAGCGTTGCTGGGTCAAGATCCAAATGCCACCAGGACAAGAATCCAATCACGCCTTCAATAATTTCCCAGCACTTGTTGTTGCACTGCCTGCCAAGGGTGCCCCTTCATCTTTGTTAGCAATAGCAATAGCAGTAGCAGTAACATTTTTCTCTCATCAAGCAATTCAAACACGGATAGAATGGATGTCAAAAGTTCAAATAATTGCTTTAACCCGAATTTTGAAATTAGATAATAACAAATGGGTTGCATATCAGACGATCACATGAACGATCCATTATTATTTAACTTATACATTCTTGTCATCGGCAGGATTAGTGCCGAAATTTGAAGAAAACGAGTAGCACCGGCTTTCGGCGCATTGCGTAATCTTCTTGAAGATAGCACCGTAGACAATATTTTCTTCATTATGCTAATCGTTTAATTTAATTTCCGTATGTCAACAATTAAGTGATTTCAAATGCTACTCTTGCTCATACCATTTTTCCGTCACATTTCAATTTTATAGAATATTTAACAGAAAATCTATTTAATTCTCTTCATATTTCAACTTTCAAAATTTTGCTCAAAGAATTACTGGGATATTTGTTTCCGATAAATCCAATAAATTAATTATACTTACCGAAACTTATGGATGCAATGGTGAGAGATGCGATAATCACACTGAATGGATTCTGGATGAATAAGCCGCATACTGCTGTCATGCAAATTAACGTCCAGACGCAAGTCTTGAAAGAAAAATAACTATTAATCCAGAAAAACTGGTCGAATTAACTTCGGAAAATTCAGTATTACATATAACAGTTTATCGGAGTTTACCTGCAAAGCTAATGTTTTCAGTGAAAGCATTTGATCCACAAACATCGAATTAGCCTCCCAAACAGATACATTTAAATCTTTATAAGAATTAGCAATGTTTCGCCATTTTTGCATTAATTCAATTCGTTCCTTCCAACTGGTCGAATTTTGATATGTCACCACGAAGCAAAAGCTTTCCACCGGTATGTTCGAATCATTCCTTTTGAAGAAAGTGATTGAAAATTCTTTTATAGTAACTTAAATGAACCTAGTGGAAATAAATCTGAGATACAAGGAAAAGTGTAAGTTGCAGCAGAAAGAATTAAGTTGAAGGTAGAAGTATAGAAGTCGTAAAGTGAAAGTAGATGAAAAAAATGCAAATAAAAGTTATGGTGACAAAAAAAGCTTTTTAGTTACTGCCATAAATACTGCCAAAAGTAACATAACACCCTGTGCTTCTTGCGCAATCATACCTGCCGTGTTCCTCACACTAAAGATAATGTTAGAAAAAAAGATGATTGTTAAGGATATTTTACAGAACAAAATCTAAAAACATATATATTACCTTGACTTTAAGAATGTTACCTTAATTTTAAAAAATTTTTCCAGTGTTTGTAAAGTGGGGAAAACAGAAAATCATTCAATTTGCTGTAATCAATCATTTCCTTTTTGAATTTTGCTCCTTGTTTTGATGCTTGCGAAGTTGTTGTTACTGATACTGTATCATCCGAAAAATAATCGAAATCATATAACAAAACCTCCCACCAATATGTTTTGTAATCGCGCAACCAAAGAAGAGTAAATTCTTTTCCTGAAAATTCAAATGGATTCAAATGGATTGTTCTCGCGGATAAAATGAGCTCATTATAATTTTCGAAAACAAAGATTTAACACTTTGAAATGACTAATTTAATACAATTATCTCTTACCCCGACATTTTTCCAGCGTTTCGAAATCATTGACCATCGCATCGAATCGTTTAAGAACATGCTCATTTCGTATATCCAAAGGACTGTTAACCAAAATCATTACGGGATAATATTCCGTCCAAACTGCAATCTAATCAAGCCATGCTTGCTCGAATCCAAACTTAATTCAGCCAGATGCTAATGAAGAAACATCTGAGATCTATTACGAACTACCGTGCCTTCCGTTCCGGGACAGATTTCCCACATCAGATGTTTTCATTAGATCATTTTATATTTCCAAATAACGACCCTATTCAGAAGAAAGAATGATTAAAAATAAGGAGAGAGAGAAAGGATTACTTATGGTTGAAATCATAGCATTTGCTTCTTGTAAAGGTGAATTTTTTGGTAGCAACTTTTCCACATCCAAACGTGTTTCAATATTCATTGCACCAATGATGCCAAAGAACCAGTAGATTAGAATACCAATGAAAGCCAAAACACCGAACAGTTTCGATGTTATCAGACGACAGTAACACTTCAATGTAGAATTCAATCCAGTGATAACCTGAAAATATAGTCTGGTAAGTGCTATATGAAAGTATCCATAAATACCCATTTTCTTATCTTACCTGTCTGCTGCAATAGTTAATTTGTGTTTGAGTCTCTCTCAGTCTTTCAGTGTGAATTTAATTAATTACAAAGCTTGTGACTCAGATTCCATTGTAAATCTAAAGCCATATCAAATTACTTGACATGGTTGTAACGCACAAGCATGTTCCTTTTTCCAGAATTAACTATTAATATCTGCCGCGAATAAGGAACGGCCATGTCGGAAATCTTTGCAGTTTAATTTGTTCACTGAGTGACCGTCGTTTACACCACTCTCTTCGACATCTTGACAAAGTGCGAAGCAGAATTTATCAAAATACTATTTTTGAAATTTGAAGAAAAACAAAACCAAAATACAACCATTGGAAAACCAGCATCTTTCTTCTTCGTCCGTTCCACGACAGTTGCCAGGTAAAGTAGTGGACAGAGCAAAACCAGTGTGAAGATATATGCAAATGCAAGTGCTATTGCTGTTTCAAAACAAAAGAGTGCTATTTCTGAAATGGAAAAGCGACATTAGCATCCTTTCCATAGAACTCCAAATTTCTGAATAAAAGACCACTTATGAAAACTGTTCCCTTTTAAGCTAAATTGCTAAATATGAAAATATTTCAAAATTTGAATGAAATCACTTGAAAACAAGCGTATTATGGAAAGTTGTTCGGAATCAGTCATCAAAATAAAAAAGCCTCTTATCGAAGTTGTCCTCTTTTATTCATAAAGGAGAGTAAAATGAAGCGAACTCGCCTGGCGTCGGAGTTAATGCGCCGATACCAAAGGTTATCACATTGGTGAATGTGGAAATTGTGACGGAGGGTCCGGCTTCTTCCAACACAAAACCGAGTCGCTGAGGTACGGAACATTCACTTGTTGACCGTAACCATGAGTGGATTACTAGGAATGCTCCGTTAACGCCTAAAAGTAATGATTAGCTGGTTAAAAAGTCATCCACACCAGATCACGTAAGCTACAGAATGCTATTGGCACTACCGTTAATATGTACTGTAATGAATGAATGTACGATCGAACAGTGATATTTTCTGATATTACGATTAAAAACCTTAGACAAACAAACAAGTATGAAATCATTTTCATAACTGACAAGAAATATTTGTGTACGCTTAGTTGAACAATTCCGGCGAATAAAGAGATCAAGGCAAACTGAATTCCTGTGGGATCACCGGATTAAAGGAAATGAATAATCGTGACTTGCGGAATGGAACTTCTGAGTAAAGCACTTCTCAGATCCAATTCGAGCATTCTTTTAATTACATTAAGGATAATTCGTATCACACGTGTTACATCCAATTTATAGCATGAATTGTAGAAGCACAATCTTTCTTTTTAAAATTTCCACTCAACCGTTTCGACTAATATAGCATCTTAGGGAAGTTACAGTTCATCGCTTTTTGAAAAGGTAATCTTAATGGTATTTACTGTTAGAATAAATAATTTTTTCTTCACATTCAACCTCTGAGACTTACCAATTCCCATCACCAGGAAAGGCATAATAAGCATGATTGTGTTTGTTCGAAGTTGAGCTAACGAAAATAATCCAAAGGTAACGGTAATCGCCAGGATGGGACATGCAATAACACCAAATGCGACGATTAACTTCGCTGGATGCATCACACCAAGCAGCAACGCACTCCCGAGTACTGAGATGGCAACCATCAAAAACATAGCTAAGAATCCTGAAATTAACTAATTTCAGCAAGCTAATTGTTTCTGAGTGCTACTCAAATGGAAAACTTGTACTTCCACTATGAGTAGATCTTACGAAATGAAACTGATTTCAACTATTAGATAATTTTGGAAATTTCCAATGGAAGCAAACGATGAAAATTCATGCTTGGTGACATTTTAATTTTATTTTTTCTTAAAAACTTCTCTCTTTTCCAAAATTAAGAGAAGTGATTTCAAGAGTTCCTCTTTTGACGCAATTGCCTTCTTGACGTCATTAACATCGCACCTTATTTCAGATTTCTAACGCAAATCACTTCAAATCTCTTCTTTCTCTCATGATTCTGTTCCAAACTACAAACTTATGGTTGAGGAGTGATATTAACTTATCCTTCTTACACTAATTTCGATTTGAGAAATAAGCGGTCCAGATAAGCAAGTGTGATATTACCAATACCGATACTTACTACCAATACTACTGATATCAGAAGCGAATATGGGATGAATATAACCGAAATCAGTTACCGGAAAGCAAAATAATTTACTAATCTCATTTCAACCAATGCCCTTATAATTGATACAATAGAAGGCACAAATAATAGAGAATGGCTGGCAATGATAATAAAACGGGTCGTGAAGATACTACCAATCGAAAAGAAAATTTGAATTTTTGTCTGTAAGTGTGAAACAGAGCTTTCTTCAGGAAGGAGGAGAAGAAAAAGGAAATTTGAATTTTGTTTTTTCTGTTTGTGATTGTAAAAGAGAGCTTTCTTCAGGAGGGAGGAGAAGGAGAAGGAAATTTGGACTTTGTTTTTTCTGTTTGTGAGTGTATTCGGAAGGAGAAGAACAAGGGAGAAGGGAGTGCCGGAATGCACATTCGTTGACTGTTCATTGTCGGATCTGATATGCAAAAGTGATCCGAGCTGCCTAAAAGGATATTTGGTGGAAGTTGCATGCTGTCGTTGTATCAACGACATTTCATAGGGTCGTTAAAAGGGCTCATTACGTAAAATCATTTATTCAATTTGCTTGCTGGTTAACTTATCAACAGATAAAATTGTTCCTAGAAATAAATCATTTCCTTTTCTCTCTTCCATCTCATATTTTGCCATTTGGAAAATATTTAACGTTCTTCTCTTTTGATGATAATGAACTGATAAACATGGCTGTGAGACAAAAAAGATAAGTTTCACTCAACGATAGAAGGGGTGACATACATTTATGTGCTCAGTTGCGCTAAATAAAATCTAAACACTAAAACAGCTTTCTTCTTATCCTTATCTTATCATTCCATTTGAGGCAGTGTATTATGCTCAGAAACGATGAGATAACTGAAAAATTTTTTTGAAAAGATAGTGAATTTTTGACATTATTTCGAAAAAAATAATATATCGCTGTACGATCGGCAATCTAATCTAGGGATAGCTTAAAGTGAAAGTTGAATGACTTCTCGATGTACAGTTGCGCCATCAAAAATGATGCTTCACTTGAATGTACGGTAAATTTATAAACAAGACAGTCTTACTTTATTTGGAATCTCTAATCTAGTGCAATTTGCAATAGAAAAGAAGCAGAAATCGTTATGAATTTAGATCGAAATTTAATAATATTATTTGTTGACCGGATGTAGGAGGATCCCTAAAAGTGCGCAACAATCCGATTAATCCATCTGTCACTTTTTTCCTCCTTCTTTCGAACCATGAAGTACAACATTCTCATAAAAAAATGCGAAGAGAAAGAGAGAAGGGGAGAGAAAAAAAAATAAACCAGCAACAAAATAGGGTGCCATTCGTTGCGAATCCTTGATTAACTCCTGGTTGACTATTTCTGATCCAAGTACCTGTAATTATGCATTTATTTTCTTCTCTTTAAATTAAAATCAAATCGAGGAAGGAATATAAGGGAGTTATGGCTTTCATTGAGACAAAAGTGACCAAACTTCTAGCTTTCTATTAAAAATTGAAATTCAACTCATATTTTCTTCTGCTCATTGTGATTGTCATTCAGCATCTGTGAAAGTGTTAAATGGTGAGTGATAATTTGGAGGCATTCAACATTTTTATTCATTTCCTACTGAACCCCGTTAAAGGGATTAAGCTGACTGGAAGATTAGCCTAGCCAGGAGCTATAAGACACTTGGACAGCAAAAACCTCTGAAATATCGGACAGCTGCCACATAATCACGTAACACATGAATAAACGAGAGAAGCATTCAGGACGTACCAGTATTTTTATTGGTTGATCAACATAGGTTTGCGTGGCAAATTCATACACAGCTACTTCCCAGGCATTAAGCTTTGCTTCCATGTTACTGCTAGTCACCTGTCCTTGGAAAACCATCAAAATAATCTGAAAGAGTTTGGCACTTTCTGTTATTAAATGCCAGGACATTTATCGGGAAAATGAATAATATACTTATTATTATTTGGAGCTGTCTGGAGGCAGCAAATAAATTTGAAAATGAAATAGAGCACAGGATGTACTTTCAGTCTTCAGGCTTTTCAATTGAACGTGCAATTTATACAGTGACACTTTGTATTTCATATAATTGCCAGGAGATTTCCTGAATTTTATATATTACCTGAATATATTCAATATCGGTGATCGTTTTCAGAATTATCTCTTCGGAATCTGTCCTGCTAGTGTCCACTGTACTGTTCTTACGGCTACTGTTATGATCATCTCCTCTGTTAGCATACGGTCGTAAACGAACGCCATAAAAATTACGTTCCAAATGAATATCAAAGCCAGTAATTTTAGCAATTGGATAGGTGAGATTAGTCGCTTCGCTACGCACCTCACCCGTTTTCTCTTTCCTGTACTCCTCCAATAATGCACTCTGAAGAAAGATGATCTCCAATTATTCCACCGTTCCCCTACCTGATTTCTTTTCTATTTCGGGAGACAAAATTTCGAAATCAGATTTCCATCCAGAATTTGATAAGCGCACAAGGAGGAAGTGTGCAAAGGCATAAAGAAAAGAAATTCAAGGATCCGGTAAGAATTTCTATGTTAGACCGTTCAATCCATCTCATAATCAGAATGACACAGAACTAATTTATGTTTAATAAACGGAACGCACGCACGTGAAAGTATTCGATGACAGCATTTGCATTGCATGAAAACCCGCATATTTCCCTGTAGATGAATCTTTCACCGGTAGAAGGCACTTCAACAGTGAAATTATCCATAAAATATCGATGCAATCGAACTGCTTCTTCCAAGTACTTCAGACGATGCATGGAACCGCCATCACGAGCTTGCAGCGTCAATGTCGTTAATGTCGGATCGCCTAATGTACAATGAAACAATTAAGCCAGAAACGAATTTCCAGACGTTGTCGGCGGATTTTTTTTTTACTTTTTTTTTTCGGTGCCGCAAGCTGTGTTTGGAAGTTCAGAATATTAAATTAATTAAAACTTGGAAGCCACACGGCTAATTCATTACATACGAATGAACAATTCCAAAATTTGAAACGGAAAAGGGAAACTTGGAAAAACTTTTTAACTTTCCATCACTAAAAAACTGTATCAATTATTAAATCACCAACCTCCAACAACTTTTAATTAAAAAATACTTTTTAAGACGTATATCATCATCTGGCAATTTAACCTTTAGAAATTTAATACTTAACAACTCGGAAATCGCTCCAGATCTACTAAATATTAATTAAACATAAAGATTTTATGAACTTGAATTTCAAATTTTGGACAAAGAAGAAACCAACCAACCAAATGAATCAGTAAATTCTCGAAGCAAATTTGCTTCTTGTCTTGAAGGTGATGTCGTTGGTGTGTAACCATCACGCACCCGATCTTCCAGTTTAAGATAATAAATTCCGAAGGACATAACTGACATAATTACAGCAGCAATGACATAAGCAAGTGGATATGAACCGATACTAAAACCGATCAAGCGGAAAACCCTCCGTAAAGTTATCTGTTGACAAAAGGCTAATAGTTTGGATGCTTTTGCTCCTGAAACTTCAAATTAATTAAAAAGGAAAGAGCAGTTTAATACTGCTGAAAAACAGAAATTGTGGGCTAAATTTTGTCCACTATACTTTATTCAGCAATGCTTTCGAAAGTGTTTGTGTTTGAAATCGCTGCTTAAGATCGATATTCTCTTTCATACAAATTCTCAAATTTAATTTAAACTCTACGGCATGCTATTCCATTACCACGCAGTCTTGAATATCGAAGCATTTTATTTTAAATTTTCTCAATCTTAGAAGCAAACATCTCAAACAGCCAAATTTGAATCCCAAAAATCTTTATAATTTTTTAAAATGCCGAAGGTTAAAGCCACTAGCACGTATTATTATTCAGTTTGCACAAAAAACAAAAGGAAGATGAATTGATGGAAAAAGTTCATCGATCGGTCTAAAAAAGAGTACAAGCTAAGGTGAGCAATAAATTGTGTAGCATAATCAAGGAAGGTCAGTGATGACGACGTCCTTCTCACGTGACTCATCTAAGGTTAAGCAGGCAGCAACTAACGATTATTTGTGGTGAATGAATTGATGCGAAGTGGTAGCTCTTCCTGTATTTCACAACATTCGTTATCGTTATTGTTCTCAGCCACATCAACCTTGAAGTTGGAGCGTAATTGTTGGCTGGTGGAATTTATTTTCGCAAGTAATGTTGACATTGATACGTGCTAACGGATAGTACACAACTTCTAAAGCATTACGCTTCTAAAATTATACTTCTTCTTCTACGGAACATCAATGGCAATTATATAAATAAAAAGCGCATCGACACGTCACGTAAAACAAACGTTGATAGTAGACTAAACATACTGCTTAAATGATCCCAAAACATAAAAAGTATCAATTTCAAATTTTTTCCTTATTATTAAATCTCATACATGAAGAATACACATGAAAAACGCGAGCTTCTACATATGACTTGTTTCGTTTCAGCGTTTCATACCTGCACAACATCGCGAGAGTAAACGTGCAATAATTTTGTAATCAAACAAGCACGCCTCATAAGGCTTATTGACAGCAGCCTAATTAGCAGTAGCCCAGTTATAATAGAAATCAAATGCGAATCATGGTCACTATATTCGTAAGTCTGTTCGTACCTCGGATATATAAGTATTCGTTTACGCGCAAATGTTACTGTTACACAACTTAAGAAGCATTATGTATTCATTAAAATAACCCACTGAGCAGCAAAATATCAATGACATGCAGAACGATATGATAAGTCACCCTTAATTAATAAGGTAAGGGATTTAGAAACTAGATAGGCAACAAATAAAGAGACAGGTAAGTATCTGACTGGAAAGGTAGACAGAAAAAGAAATATGTGAGCCGTGGATGCAGGTAAGTAAATAAATGGTCAAGTAATGGATCGGTAGGTAAATATTTCCACAAGCGGATAAATAAGAAAGTAGAGTTAATGGATGCACAAAAAGCACATGAGCAAGTGACACAGGGAAACAGGTAGCTAGGCTTAGGCTCATGGTAGATGAGTGCAAATATAAAAGCATAAAAAGTGTTAAGTAACAGAGCAAAACGGCCATAATTATTCATTGGAAAAGTGAAAACGCTGAATTTCAAATCCGTACCGCTAACAAATATGCGTCTTTTCACGTGTGCAAACGTACAGATGTTAATGGTAAAATAAATAAAGACGAAAAATGAGTGAAGACAGAGATATCTTCTTATAATTCCTTTCTATAATTCCCTAAATGAATTTCAATCCAAAATTTGAATTTTTTTATAATTCTGGTATCACAAAAATCTAACTGACCGGATGACCGCTCCTTCATTTACGCGCGAAGATGGAATGAAATAATCAGAGAAATTGGTTTGATTTTGTACGGACAAAATGAAGCTGACATGAACAGGATCGCACGTGAGTTGGATTTTCCCCTGAGTTCTTACCTCCGAATTATATCCAAGAGTTGGGCAGTCACGTGTTCTCGAAAACTGAATCAATTACAGAATATAACGCGATCATAGGAAGAGAGAAGCATGGATTCGTTTCATAAAGGTGAAGTGAGTGGATCAGAAAGATCGGCTCAGTGAACTACGTGGACAGACTAAATTAGAACGGTAATTGTGATCTGTGAAAACGCTTTTATTGAAAATTTGAAAAATGTTGACAACATGAATATCATTTGCGAGTGTGATCATGAACAACATCAAAACTGTTCCGGAAACTTGCGCACTGCTCACCGGATTTTTCATTGACAGTGAACAAGTAAACAGCGCGACAAGGTAAGAACTTCACAAGCATTCTTTGGGGGTTGAAATTGGAAGAGAGAGAGAGAAGAGAAAAGGGACAGGTTTGATTTCAGGATGAAGCAGCAAAGTGAGGCATGAGTGGAAGAGGAGGAAAAGAGAACTCACTTCAGTCAGACTGTCTGAGAAATTCAATTTCAATCGACACTGATCTTTCAGATCCTTTTCTCTTTTTCCTCTCTTCCTCTCCCTCCACCACTACCAATTAATTATTGATAATGTTGTCTACTTGGAAAGTAACTTGAAATATTGCCCTAAAATTGAAAATTGAAGAGTTTAAAGGAGGACTGTTGCAAGGGGTGAAGAGAGAGACAGAGAGAGAGAGGGAGAGAGGTAAACGAGGAAAAGAAATAAAGGAGAGACTGCTGGGCGATACTTCATCCATCGGATGTTTCAGATAAGGATTTCGGATCCTCAATTCCTTATAGATGTTGGCATCTGTCTCACAAAATCTCGCTTGGCTTAATCACGGTAGCCTGCTGCTATTTGGCTTCATTACTTGTTTTACTAGGTATTTTTTGGCCATGTGATTACTACTGCACACTTGCTCATACTTTTCTATTTATTTCCTTTTCGAATTACCTTCCACTCCTCATTTCTTGTCCATTTATTAAAGATTACTTGAAAATCTAAGGAACTACTTATATTTGTTGGCATGTATTTGAGTTATTGATTTCATAAATTAACCGATTTCAATTGTAAATCTAACAAAGTAATTAATTAAAGAAGTTGACAAATGGGAAGGATGGAATACGGCTTCCTCATATAGGTGAGTGACCAGATGAAAAAATGGACACAGAAACGACCTGAGGTACACTTAATTCAGGAAAAGAAATACAGAAGGTGGAAGAACTGAATGAAATTACAGTTTTAAGAGGTAACTCTCCTTGCACCTCTCAATCTACTTACTCTCTACATGATTCAACTTTAAAATTTTCAAATTTAATTCAAATATTTCTAAAAACACACTACCGCCACTGAATGAATGTGGAAGAAGTGATGGCAAGAAAAGAGAACCTTTTTGTTGAGTATGAAATTATGATGAACTTTGGTGGCTTAAAGTCAATCAAAATCAAAGTAAATATTCTGATATGTGAACGAAGAACAAACCATTCGTCAAATTAAAAGAAAATTATTTCCAGAAATTTGTTCATTGCATCAGGTCGAATGAAAGGAGTGTGAGATAGCCGGTAGGATGTAATTTAAGCACTCGCAAACAAAATTTAATTTTCATTTAATGCAAATGGATTAATTAGAATAAACTTTAGCAAAGAAGGAAAGTTAATCAGGCAAACGAATGCTTTACTGTTTACTTTAACATAAAAAGTAGACGAAAACGAGAAAGGTAAACAAAGGGAACCAACTTTCATCTTCTCGACCTTTACCTCTGCTCACGTCACTTCAGCGGTATCTCTTGAAAGGAGAAATTTGAAGAAATTTGCTACTTAGGAGCAATACATGAGATCAGTAATGATGGAGGAGAATGCAAGACGAACAACGATCAAATAAACAAATTTCACCCTTCTCATTCTCCACTACACTCCCAATTCTTCCTTTTTTTGCATCATGAAGTTCCATAAAATGATCGATGAATTAGTGATCATATCACAAACCAGCCAGCCGCTATTTGCCAGATGGTAACTTACGTCTTTTTTGAACTTGTCAGAAACCGGAAAGATACACTGGATGAACTTTGGCATTTGGTTATGTGAAGAACAGAACTGCGATTATAGGATAGTAGAAAGCAAAATTAATACATTCTGGAAATTCATATTACAAAAAAGTTTAAGGAGGAAAAAATAGTAAATGATCCGTTCATTTATCTTTCAAGTTATTTAGCTGAATATAATTATTAATTGAATGAAGGATAGAAGGAAGGTGTAATTAGAAGTTTGTATACAATGTTCTTTTTTACTAATCGATGACGTATTATCATTCTTATGGATACATCCGCCAATCAGGCCTTTAGCAGTGCCTTCCGGAAATGTTAGTGGCGCCGAAAAGCGGATGAAAAGGGACAAGAAAGGAAAATTCGCTACCTTTTATATCTTAATTTTTTGCAACGAAACTTTCTCATTAAAGAAAAAAGAAAGTTAAAATTGATGATCATAAGACAACGATAGCACGTGCCTCCCACTGATATGATGATAAATATATCATTATCACAGTCACAACATACAACTAACTGCATTCTGCCAGGTAAATGAATGTGATGAAGAAAGAATGGTAGTGGCAGTAGCGGTAGTAATGATAGTAGTAATAGTAGTAGTAATGATAGTAGTAATAGTAGTAGTAATGATAGTAGTAATAGTAGTAGTAATGGTAGTAGTAGTGATAGCAGTAGTGATAGTAGTGGTTGTAGTAGTAGTAGTATAGTAATAGAACACCCTGATTGATAGCATAGAAAGGAAGGGAGAGAAACCGGTATTGGTTATTGATGTCGTAGATTTGAAAAAATGAAGAAAAATATCATCCGAATCGATAGAGACAGTGGAAATGTTTACTAATAAATAAAAGGAGAAGAAAGACATCGGAAACATAAGCTGGCGTTATTCGCACATGCGTCTTAAAGGTTATCTAAAGACGGATACCTAAGGTCACGGTTACTCATAAGCATAGTGCTTCAGGTCTCATAGTTTTTTTATCCTTAGAAACGATGTGATGGTGTGACACACATTCCAATATCTTTAGTGGTAATTTCTGGTAAATAATGTGACGAGAAAACCATAGAATCTTAAACTGGACATCAGAAAAACACAGATCCGTTTCCGGTAACCTACGCTATATCACTTCATTTTAAGCACAGAAATCACCGCGAATGAAATGCGTGGTTTGTTTAACCCCATGAAGTAGACGAAGGAAGAGTATAAGAGGAAAAGCAATCCAAATAGATCTTAATCCATTCTCGCATTCCGAGATTCTGCATTGGCGGATTTAGAAGGTAAGCTGGAAGGAGGGTCAAAGCAGCAGTCCCTCAGACATGTTCATAGGACTGGAATAGCAAAAAAAGCTAAAGCGCAAAGAGTATGCATAGAAGGGGCGAGGGGCGCAATTCACATCCATAGCAACAGGGAGTGGACTGCAAGGATTTGCAAGCGCCAGTTGTAACTCTCGAAAGGACCAAGTTCACTCCTATACCCAACAGACACAAGCTAATGTGATTTGTAAATCAGTCTGATCGATTGCGCTGCAGTAAACCTTCCGGAGACTCTTTTTAATGTATGTGAATAAGGGAATACAACGATTTGATTTTGAAATGGTGAAATAAACCGAAGAAAAGGACACTGTGAATTTGGATCAATAAAATAATTTCAATAAGTGAGCGATACATAGCTAAACAATGATCGAATTCATTTCAGAATGTGTTCAAATTCCAAATTAATCGATAACTCTT